GTGTGAATGCATAGAATAATAATAATAATAATCATATGAAGTTCAATTAAAACTAAAATGTTTGTGATTATAATCGTAGTTAAATGTCAAGTGGCAAAGCAAATTAATGTCATATATAGAATAATTCATAGGATGGATAGAACTTGAAAAAGGGTGTGCAATTATAGGATTAGTAGACAAATCGAATAAAACAAAAAACGTTACGTAATATTGTGTGAGGTGGGAGGGTTTCAATTAGACTTTAACTAGGCCAAGGGAGAGACAAAGGTAGAACAAACTTCTTTTGCTGTATGCAAAGACTAGGATTGTTCTCTCGAATTCCCATAACTTCGGCCAAGTGTAAAAGAGGGGTTCTGATTCCGTTCGAAAGACTCGATGGAATGCGATAGATAACTACTTTGAAGGCACTATTTCTGTCCACTTGGTGACCGCTATCAATCAAATGAGCCAAAAGAGAACTTCGTATGGATTTTATTTGACCTTTTCCGAGCCATGAAGGAAGATGCTCATTAGTGGGTTTGTTAAGCTGTCTAGTTGTTCACCCTGTATAGCTCTCTCCACAACAGCAATTGTCTACATATATACATAGACTATCTTAGTTATTCTTCTTATTATTATTATCTTAGTTATTCTTATCGCTACCTGCATAAACCTTATTATCAATATTTTGTTATCATTATAATCATCGTTATTAATGTCGTTCAAAACGTTTACCATATTATTATTACTATTATTATTACGAGTTGATCACGGATTGATATCAGTTAGAGAACCATTGAAAACCAGGGAGTACTGGTCAGCTTCTGTTTCATCCTAGTTTGGGAATTATTGGCAGTACGAACCCACTGGGATTCGAACCCAGCACCTTCCGGTTACTAGGCAAGCTCGTATACTATCAAGCCACTGGGACCCGATTCAATGGCTCAACCAACCCGACCGGAAGGTCCTGGGTTCGAACCCTGGTGGTGGGTGGGTACTGCCAATCTGTGATCAACTCGTAAAAACATAACTAACCCTTACAAACCAAACTATAGAAAATTATTATTATTATTATTTGATCCACAAAATCACCGTCATTGGTTAAAAATTTTTATGTATAAGTCTATGTAAATTAAAGTAAAGCCTGAAGAAGACCTAATTGAAAGCGACTTAGAATATTCAAATAACAACTGAAATTACCCTCTGTTTTTAATGAAGATCATGCCTTAACGATTAATCTCCATTAAAATACTGACTTTGCGTCAGTGTCATAGTGGTTAGGACACTTGCCGACCATGCACATGGTCTGGGGTTCGATCCCCGACCGACGCACTCCTTTACCTCGCCAAACCAGTAATATAAGTCGGTGAAGAGTAAAGGTTGGGCATGAAGCTAGCAACCTCATCCTGTAAAAATAACCGCCACTGCTACAGAAACTTCAAGTCACTAGCTTGAAGCCCTATGTTCCACTGGAGGAACGTGAAGGAAAAAAAAGTACTGTTAAAATTACTGAGCTTTTCTTATGCATTATTTTGCTGCCAGCATTAATTAATACTACTGTGAATGTTAAGTAAACAGTTTAAATATTGATTATTTGCATTAGATGAATTGTTCTTGTCATTTATGTCAAACTTGTCTTTGAATTACACGTGTCACATGGTATATATATATATATATATATATATATATATATATATATATATATATATATATATATATATATATATATATATATATATGAAGTGTTGTTTTGCAGTGATATAATTAGTTACAGGATTGATCACTGGCTGACATCAGTTAGAACATCATTGGAAAACCACCAAGGAGCATTGAAAAGCTTTTTCGTCAGACTAGCTTGGGACTTATTGGAAGTACAAACCCATTGGAGTTTGAATCCCCAGAACCGCCTGGTTACGAGGCATGCTCATAGACTATTCAGTCACTGAGATTTGACTTAGTGACTCATGAATTTGGACAGGACGAAGTTTCCTAGAGTTCTAGTGAGACTTCGTGAACAATGGTACCCACCCAGTCGGTGGAGGGTAAAGACAAATGTTCACCACCGATGACTATGGCAGGTGTTGGTTGTAAAAACAGCTGATTGGTGTAGAGGTTAGAATTCATGCGCCATTGGATCGGGTTCGAATAACTGAAGTGGTCGACGAGCTTGAATTTTGATTTTTAGAGGGCTTCGTGTGCTTTTGAAATTGTGTAGGCGGTTGTTACTTCCCTACTGGAAGTTGATTCTTTTCTTAGGGTACCTGAAAGAGATTATTGTTGCTTGACTGCAGAGACCAGGGGACAGCTGCTTGAGTCTGATAATATACACGGCTTGTCTGAACAGGATTTTCGGTTCGCTTCCTTATTAGTAATTTACCATCGGCTACAGACCACCGTTGGGTAAGTGTGGATGAACAGTTTTCGGCATCCACCTTTTCTAACCATTCTCCTCTCTTCAGAGTAAACAGATAGCCTAGGTGGCATGCTGGTCATCTGAGGGAAACACTTTATTGCTGTTACACCCCTGTTGCCCTGCAGTACGACTTCGCCCACAGACCGCCCCCCCCCCAACATAGCGTAAAAAAGAATTCTTACACTAAGCCGTTAACTGCTTTTAGTCTAATCGCTATCCTAACAACCTTCCTGGCATGGTAGGACCTGCAGGAACAACATAGCCAGCCAGTGTAGTTTGTTGGGACATTCCGATATGCAAGCCCGACCACCACGTCAAGGTAGCAGCTATCAGTTGGGGCTTGACTTTTACCCGAAAGGTCATTGGTTTGGATCTCGATAGTGAGTGCATACTTTTGATGACTCCCAAAGTAGGACGAAACAGCTCCCTGGCAGTACTCTGTAATGGTTTTCAGTGATTCTCTAAACTGATATCAATCCGCGGTCAACATTGTGGGATCAAATCAAATCCCTACAAAACTAACTCTTAAGAATATCAGTTTAAGAGTTATACTGGGAACCGGGACACAATTACTGAAATAAAAAAATGTTTATTTACTTCTGTCTTATTCTACGATGGTTTTGTCACCGATATCTTCAGGATATATACTACAATGAAGACCTAATTCTGAATACTAGTCTTGACATCAAAATGTGCATGAAATGCCTTAATTTGAGAGAGTCTATCAGGTTTTTGTTGAAATATATATTATTTTATATACTGTATATAATTGAAGTGAAACCGCAAGACTATATGTTCATGGTTTCTTTCCTGCACAGATCATGTTTCTTCACGCCGCATTTCAAATATCTGTGTATATGTTGAATGATCACCTGAACAATGTTCAGTAGTGTTATTTACCTGATGAGAATTATACATATTAAATCGAAACCATGCAGATATGTAGTTAAAACCATATACTACTGATGAACTGATATTAGTAGTTGTGTAGCAACAGACTTAGATTGTAAAGATGATATAGTCCGCCCTCCTAGATGAAGACTCTGACAAAATACAGACAGGGTCTCCTGAACACCTTGAGGATCAGCAATTTTCGAATATTTGGCAAGTGATTCGCTCCTACTTTCAAATGTAAGGTGATGCTACATGCGTGGACTGGATAACATCAACTCTTAGAGCAAAGATAGGCAGGAGTGAAGTGGTAGATTGTGTTGACCACTTCTTTTACATGACAAGTTGCATAAGCCAGGCCCAACGAAGTTGTTCGCTGACGAAATCTCAACACGGATACAGAAGTGTCTGGTTTCGCATTCGCTAACTTACTCCATGTCTGGCTTAGTAGACGTGATATCCGACTGTTAACCAAAGGATGTGTGTACTGCTCAGTAGCAGTTTACTCTGTTGTCCTTTATGATTGTAAGTGAGAGATGGCCATTGAAAGTGGAAGATACAAAAAAGACTAACTCTCTTTGATCATAGGTATCTGCATTCTCTCTCTCACGTGTTAAATGACATAATAAGGTGAGCAATATTGAAATTAGGTTCCCATCGAGTACTAGGTAAGGAGGCTAAATCGATGGACAAGGTTGTGAAGTTATATCGATTGAGATTTTTATGACATTTGTTTTACACATGCATCTCTAGCCATCTCCTTCCTCTTTGTGTGCTTCATGCACATGGTCCGGGGTTCGAGCCCACGCCGACGCACACCCGATATCTATGGTCGGCCTGCGAATTTTGGGCTACCGATATCCACGCTGAAAATTCCATACTTGTACCAAAAATACGTTGTGGAATCAAGCTGTAAATCAAAAATAAAAATACGTCAGTCAGTGGCCTTCGCAGTGTAACAATATCTTTCCTGCATAGCATGGAAAAGAATAGAATACAAGAATCAACAAACTGTAAAATTAGATAGAGACTGAGTGATACGAGATTGTTTTTATTCCTTCACATAGACGGTTGGATGAAATATCGTAATGTGAAAAGATCAAGAGAGATGAGATCAAATACACAATCCGAGTGATTAGTTTTTTTTTTACATTCGATTTAGTTTCAACTTATGTTAGTGGAAACACGTGAACTAACCAGTTCATTTAAGTCATGCTTACATCTGAAAGTGAAATTAACAACGTGACATTTGGAGGGATTAAGCTTAAGACCATTTGTGAAGGACCACTGACTAATTTCTGATAAAAAGTTAATCATTTTGGAACAGTCTGACTGAGAGGTAATCGCCGGCAGTAGAAACAGTCAGATCATCAGCATACCTAACAAAATCGGTTTCACCTAGAATAAGGCAAGTAATAAGTCATGTAAGAAGAAATCAAAACAGAAATGTGGAAAGAACAGCATAACCTTCAGAAACATTGGAACGATTATTGAAAGCGGAAGAGAGCACTAAACATCTACTTCGTTTGCGTTGCAAGTTTAAAAATGGTATAAATCGACGGTTGGATTAGAAGAGATGACAACACCTAGTTTCCAACTTTTACTTAATAGCTGTCTGTTTCACCTTCATGATCACTCTATGACTCATTATGATTTATTAGACCTCACAAACTTTTATTTATGCTGTCCATTACTACTTTTGTTAACCTGTTTTTAGACCACGTTTGAAGATTCGTAATAAGAATTGGTGTACAGTACCAATCAAACTAAACGACAATAATTCTCAAGCAAAGCCTATATCTGATACTACAACGAAAGAATCTGGTTTTATATTACCTTCTGGAAAACAATTATCCTGGTCAAATATTCAAGAGTCTTATCCAGGTATTAATCAGTGTTCATCACCTGATCAATTACTTTCTACAATATTGAATTCAGTAAGTGCTTTTTCATATATAAACCATCAAGTGACATCACTAGACAAGCCTGCTCGAGTGGAACCCGAAAGGGAGGCGGCGAGTTGGTCGTCCAAGGGTGACTTGGAGGAGGTCATGCGAGGAGGAGATGAAAGCATGTGGACAGACCTGGAGCGGGGTGAAAACGTTGTCAGAAAACAGAAAGCAATGGAGGTGCGCAGCTGAAGCCCTATGTTCCTCTAGGAACTAAAGGATACAATAATAACAATAATAATAATATATATATATATATAATTGTTCCCTTGGGTTCCGAGTGAAACATCGTGATCCGACCGCACATCTCTCTTGTGTTCTATTTTCTGTGGTCCTCTGTAGCTGGCCGCACTATTACCCATATTCCCTGATTCTCCCCTATGTCATTCTCGGACTCACGCTCAACTCGTCGCCTCCCGTTGGGGTTCTGTTTGAGGGTATTGTTAGCGATGTCATTCAACGGTCTTCTCAGTATGTGTCCGATCCATCTGCATTTTCTCCTACATATTTGTTGAGCAGTTGTCTCTTGATTGATTTGTTGTAAGCCAGAGTTTCTTGTAACTAATTCTTTCTGGCCGACCAGCTGGCCATTTGATCTTCACTGTCGAGCCAGCCTGAGAAGGCGGCGGCTGTTGATAAGTGTCTCCAAATTGTTGAAAATGCTTTTCGTGACGCACACACGCAGTGCAAGTTTCTAACCCGTATAGAAGTATTAACTGACTGACTTCTCATTTATGTTGAATATCTGAATCTTGTTCTTTATTCTGTGAAGCTCAGTGCAGAAAATTTCCAAACTGGTTTCAGGTTGATGTAGGCATATCTTGCCTTTCTTATTCTGGCTAGCTGGATTTGACATCTTCAGTCGTTCCATCCGTCTGTGGTTGAAACCATGCTTCTTGACTGGAGAAGTGAAGGAAGTAACCACTGTCACATTTCTCCCAATGTAATAGTGATTGGTGCTGGTTATTGTTCCTGTTGATGTCGCTGTCGGTTGGTTATCTTCATCATCTCTGTCTTCTATATGTTCACCTGCAGTCCTTTTTTCTCTAGCTGCTTCTTCAGTCAATTTGTCGGTCTTCTCCGGTTTCCCTGATTAGTCGAAATTTGCCTTCTGGTGTTATCTATCATTGATACCTTTTCCATTTCTTTCACTTTTGTCTCAAGAACCACTCTGTCTATACATATTTACTGAACCTAAAATATTAGATAAGATATATATTAGTGAAGCCAGTTGCCTTGAGATTTCTACTTGCCTTTCCCTTTTTTGTGAACTAAGAAAATCAATGATGTGCAACAGTCCAGTAGGACTGAAACTGATTCTCAGACAATATCTGTACTTTAAGTCAAGATAAGAGTTCATCTCCACTATCTTTGAGCACCTCCGTAGTTATTCCATGAGATCATTTCGTCTAATATGAGAATGCCAGTAATTTAACTGTTTCAACCTAAAATTTGTAAAATCATTTTCTCATGCAACCGATCAGCGTGAGAGGACCTTTGTGTGACATTACTTGGGCGGCACCTGTATCTGAAATGACGAGTTGGGCGTTGGTCTGGGGATAACATTAGAGGATATCATGTGGTGAGGAGATGAAAGTTTATGGGCGATCGATCGTGAGGCAGGCTGAAGAAAACTTCAGAGAACACGACAAGATGGAAGCGTCCTGGTGAAGAAGCCCTGTGCTTCGCTCGGAACCTAATAGAGTAATAAAAATAAGGCGCCGGGCAGTGATGTGCACTACACTAACTGCATATGACACCATAGCTTACCAAGTAATAATAATAATAATGATTTACTTTATTCCAAAAACAGTAAGTAGTGAGGATCCTTGTTCATCTACAAGTCGACTTAAACAACAAGGGTGAATATGCATTGTTAAATGATGACAGCTGTAAGGCTAGTAATTTTTTAATGGAATTATTCACCACTACACACTCATGAAACGCCCGTCGCGCTAATGGAATTATAAGTTCAACATTTTTACAATGTCAGATTTTCAATAATTACATATTCATGTGCGTAACCCTCTATGATGACATTATTATTTTTTGCTAATTTAGAATTTATTATTCTAAAAATAGCTTAAGTATGCATCACCTATCTTTACAATGTCTCGTGAGACTGCATCACTTATTTTTCTTTGTAAATGGTGACTAATGAATGATTAATTATTAAACAGATGTGTCATCCAATCAAATTCCTATTTTATGTCGACACCCATTACTTTGACCTTGTCTGGATTATTAATATATAGCTGATTGGTTCCACTGGTAGCTAAATGAAGTCTACCAATCAGAGAAAGAGTAAATTTTCAATCTGGTGCGTAGGTGTTTTGCTGGAAATCAAGTTTAGGTCACTCATATGTTTTCTGATCGGTAGACTTTAGTATGTTGACATCATTGTCAGTCAGCTAACTATAGCTCTTATCTGCTGTCTGGTTTTGAAGACACCGAAAATTAATGTAGTTATAATATCTACTTTCAATCAGCCCATGAATTCTAACTTTCACCGATACGTGATTTTAGCACGACCATCAACCATTGTCATCGGTGGGAAATCCATCCTCACTGTCGACTGGATGAACCTTACTGGTCACAACTTCTCACTAAAAGTCCAAGCAGCTTCCTCCTGTAGCCAGCGAGTATCAGATTAATTCTGAAGAGTTAGTTTGTAAGAATTCTATTTGTTTTCGGGAAGTACACCTTCGTATATCTCATAATCATTCATTATCCAATTGTAGATGATTCATAGCTATTTCTCTTTTTTTAAACAACAAACCCATTTTTCTTCCGTACTTAAACAGGCTTCAAATGAAAATAAATTAGATGTACTCTTAATTCAAAATAGTACACCTTTACTGATACGTTCATCACCTGAAAGTATCGGTTGGGATATTATTCTACGACGTAATTTTCTACAGTTGAATAGTAATAATAATACTGATGAAGGCAGTCTAATTCGTGGTTCATTAGCAGCACGTGATTTCCTTGTGGCTTGTGTTTATCGTGGTGCTGAAGTTGGTGGTCTACGGGATTTATATCATTGGGCTGGATTGGGAACAAGTGCTGGTGGACATTTTTATTCATTTCCAGATAGTTTATGGCCTGATACGTTAGCTGGTCAACAATCTGCTCAAATGGTGACTGAAGAGAAATTGACTCATTTTAAGTGAGTTAACTTTGAATTTATCTGTTTATTTATGTTTAAGTATTGGTTTATAGGGATTCGATTAGATTGATTACACGATTTCATAATGAGTTGACATTGTTTAGCGAACAATTTAACAAACCTGGGAGTGGTGCCAGACAACTGTTGCTTTCCCACTTTGGGACTCTTCATCGATACGCAGCAGACTTCCGGGTTGGGGCCCTCGGGACTCTAGGAATCAATGGCTGGATACAATAGGTGACATGGCTCAAAATCGTTGTCAATGGAGCAGATGTATTCAGTCTCTGTAATCTTTCGTATTCCTTTCTACCATTACCCATTCTGTTCCGCTCTTATACTTGTCAGACTGTATTGATTCTCTTCACTCATCTTCTTGTCTACCTTTGTGTGGTATTTGGAACGTGGCAACTCGAAGTGCTGTACTTCAGTGCCAAGTTCTATGTTGAATCCAGACAGACAGAAAAACATAAAGCCACTGAAATTGAGAACATACTAAACGAACAAGTCACCGCATATAACATGAATCATGCTTACCTGTTTTCTTCTGCCATACTGAGATAAAAACCATGGTTGTTCATCAGTTACACTTTCACTGATAAAATCTTGTATAACTTCAACAACCGGAAATGAGAAACCATTTTCATGTATATGAGTTTCACCTGATGATAAAGCAGACTTTTCATTTTCTGCTATACAACATTTAGAGCAAAAAGTAAATTCGGAAACCTGTTGACCAAAGTGAACACTATGATTCGAAGATATTTTTAAGTCACATCAGTCATTTGTATGTAAAAACCACTGTTGCTTATCGGATTGGTTGCCTCAAGGTCAGGGGGAATTTATTGGCTTTTTGATGCAGTCTCCTTCACCTACCTGGGAAGCATCGTCTCAACTACAGGCGGAACTGACGAGGACATCAAAGCCAGAATCGGAAAAGCAAGACAAGCTTTCATTACTCTCAAATCTGTGTGGAGGTCAACAGCAATCAGCATCAAAAATAAGATCCGGATTTTCAACTCCAATGTGAAGTTAGTGCTACTATACGCATCAGAGACTTGGCGAGTCATAAAGAGCATCTCAAACAAACTTCAAACCTTCATTAACAACTGTCTCCGCTCAATACTCAAGATCAGATGGCCAGAAAAGATCAGCAACAGGGATCTCTGGGAGCGAACCAATCAGGAACCGATTGTGAAACAAATAGGCAGAAAGAAATGGAGATGGATTGGCCATACGCTGAGGAAACCATCAAGTGACATCACTAGACAAGCCCTCGAGTGGAACCCGAAAGGGAAGCGGCGAGTTGGTCGTCCAAGGGTGACCTGGAGGAGGTCATGCGAGTAGGAGATGAAAGCATGTGGACAGACCTGGAGCATGTTGAAAAAGTTGTCAGAAAACCGAAGTCAATGGAGGTGCGCAGCTGAAGCCCTATGTTCCTCTAGGAACTAAAGGATACAATAATAATAATAATAATGCAGTCTCACAGTGTTATACAGTAATATTAACTGATGACCATTTTTCGAGCACAAATTATTGTCACTTACACAGCTCACTTCATTTTTATACATGAGTGGAATTGATGATTAGACATTTGAATTAAAATCAGTATAAGATAATGTACATTCAGAAATATGGTGGATGTATGTGGATGACACTTTTACAGTACACATCTCTAGCTTCTTGACACACACACACACATAAACTCACGAGTAGAGGGACTAAAGTTCACATTTGAATCGGAAAATGAACAAGGAGAATTAGCTCCAGTGTTAGATTGTAAAATGAAACGAATAGAAGAAGGTAGACTGCACACTAGTGTTTATAAAACACCACCGAATTCCGCTAACAGATATTTAGACTTTAACCCATCTCATCCGCTGTCTGTTTTTCTGTCTGTCTATGAAGGCTGGCTTAGTAAAGTGTCTAGCAAACCAAGCAGTAGCACTGAGTAGTACAAGAAAAGACCTAAATGATGAAGTGAAACAGACAGAGGAAGAAGAAGCGTTGGTATTAAATAACTAACTATCCAATAAAATTCATTAGGAAGATCAGTAAACGCCAAAAGCGAAATACAAAGAAATAATTGTGAAACTAGTAATGATAACAGAAATAAGAGAGAATATAAGTCATCTACTTTTATACCATCTAAGGAGGGGACATCTGAGACCCTCCCCACGTAGGATTCTTAATAAAGCAGAGATTAGAGTGGCACTTGAACCTACAAACTCACTCAGGTAGGACAAGCTCTGTAGGTTGAAGGACCCTGTCGGTTGACCCAATTAAACAAAATAATATAATTTACAGAATATCTTGCAGTGACTGTGAGTTAAGTCGACTACATAGGTCAAACTAGTAGGTCTAGGGTAGTCAGATTGCTTGTCAGAACATAAGAATTTAGCTAAGGTTAGAATGGTGGACCCTGAGAAGCTAAGTAATTTAGAAAACAGTTCAGCGACTGCACTGCATGCATGCATTAACACACAACCACACAATCGGGTGGGAGAGGGTTAAAATTCTAAGAAATAACAGGTAGGTGGAGAGAGAGAGGTTGATTACTGAATCCTGCCTGGTTCATCGAGTCTACACCCAACACGTACAATGGGATGCAATGACTCATCACTCATACCAGAAATATGCAAAATACTACTACCTGTACCGATCAAGTCAAACGATGAATTGAAATAATGGAGTTATATAAACGAACTCAGGAAGTTGTGTGAGTAATGTCTTGATATGATTATGAGCATTAATAAATTGTTCTCGAAACGTGGTCGCATCAGTAGACATTACTGTATAACACTATGAAACTTTATCAAAATAAATTTCACGCATGATGGAATTATAGTGTACCACAATGCACAAGGTTTATTCTTATATTGTTGATACAGTATTGTGTTTACTAACAATACTAATGATAATAATTGCTTTATTTTCAAATAGTATTTAGGAATTTTCAGCAGTATAACACAGTACTGCATCTGATATTCTCACCGCATAATACAGGGATAATAATTCAACACAGGCCATTTACATTGATAATATTGTCAAGTAGAAGTATAAATAAAGTGAAAATATTAACAACAATGTATTAAAGAAAGTAACAATAAAGAGTACCGTTCACTTTTTGTTTCCCAGTAAGTTGGTAGTGCCCTGTCTAGCACGCTTTCCCTAAGACATTAAAAGTGTCACAGCCAAATAAGATATTGTAAAGTTTTTATACTAGTCATCCCAACATAAAGTGTTTTACTATTGATTCTAGTCCTAACTGCCTGATGAAATACAACGTCCTAATTTAGGAGACTTTTGCAGTGCCCATCCATCACCACGCCAACCAGAGATCGAATCCGGAGGGAAAGTTAGAATTCACCGGGTCGAAGTGGTTTAATAGTTTTCATACTTGGTGATCTCATAACCTTAAGGCTCTAGGATCGACCCTTAATAAAGTCCTGGATACGTACTGTTGAAGAGTTCCATAAGGTTATTTATTTAGAAATGATGGTAACTTGTTGTTGGTTTAAGCGATCTTTTGTTTGATAGGAAATAGGTGGGACATTATAACTGAAAAACAGTATAACTGGACAAGCAACATCTACTGGCCATTATACACATATTTTGAAGTAAAACACAATCGGGCAGATTATCTCGAAGACAGGAGTAGAGCACTCTTCTGAAACTATTAGTTTAGTGAGTAACTAAATTTGTCTTTGAATTAAGACTGAAAGTAAACGGCATATTGGTAGGCTAAATGATTATCATTATTCGGTTTCGTCAGAATAAGTATCCGACTACTGTTTCACTCATCATTCTGTCTTTGAATAACTTAGTAACATGGTGTTTACTTTCGGATCCAAATTACTAAGTTAAGGTTAATATCAGGAAGGAGGGTGGCGTTAGCTGATCAGTAGATATGGTGGGGGTCACTAAGGTGAATCGCCCCATTCTGCAGGAACAGCAATATACAAATTAAAGGCTCGAGGTATTTCTGATTTTTATGAGGGCTTAGATCTTTATCTTGAAAAAGATAATAATGAACGCCTTGACAGATCATGCTTCTACCTTTAAATATATACCATTCGCTCAGCCTATTGTTGAGACGCGACCACGCGGGATCTGCACAGATTTATGGGGCATCTTATAAACTAACTTGCTGTCCGTTGTCTGATCTTTAAATACCACTTCACAATGTCTTATCTCATTCATTTTCCAATGACGTCTTTACTTGATCCTCATTATATCCCATTAAACCTAACATTTTACAGCTCTTTATGACTTATTATATTCCTACTCTCTGAAGGGTACGGTTGTACACTAAATGCACAAAAAGGTATAAAACAAAAACAACTGGCACAACTGAGGATAAATGTATTGAAACCAAAAGTGGACATCATGATAGTACGAGATATACGTGTAGCATTATACATTGCAAATGAACGTTGTCAGCCTAGGGAGTTTTCTTTATTAATGCATTTATTAATGATACTTGCACTTACCTATTTCATTACAATTGAATGATTCACCTCAGCACTTTTACTTTTCTAAAACAGCTTTCAATCCCTTGTAAACGTTGTACTTACCTCAATATTGTTGGTTATCGTATGCCGACAACCACGGGATGAAAACGAAACGAAGTCCATTTTCCCGCCCAACCTGGAGGACAATTGTACAATTCAATAACTATACAGCCTAGTTCAGACAATGTGTATTTATAAATATATCAAATATTTAACTGTTGAAACATTATTAACTTGTAGACAATGTACGATTTGATATTATATCATACTTGATCGTGCCTGTAAAAATGGCATGCATTTTCATGTAAATTTATATGTTTATATGAGAATATACATTATTATTATTATTATTATTATTATCCCTAAGGGTTTCTTGATACAAAGATTAACTTGTCGCCAAAGTATGTAAACACGTTCATATCTAGAAAATACTTAGGTTTTTAGTTTTTTACTAACACAACACCGGGTGACTCACCAATTAGTCACAAAGTAA